GAAATAAAATGTGTCCTTTATGTGAAGAAAAGCAACAAACAAGGTAAAATCTGTATAAATATATATAATTATAATGTGGTGCACAAACAGCTGATCCTAAAAACACTCAAGTAGTAAGAAAACAAAAATAAAAGGAGCTAAAAGCTAAAAGAAACAAAAACCTACGCTACAGAGAATAACAGGATAAATATAATTGTGGATAAAATCCTAAAACTGACCCAGGAAGGTCTGGACGGCGTGCAGCGCCTCCTGATCGGTCACCAGCTCCGAGACGATGGTCACCTCTCCGCTCTGGCTGTAATCGAAGGCGCGCTGACAAACTGTTTTTGCTCCGAGACATGTCGCCTCGCTGAAACGGAAAGTTGACGGTGCGTTCAAGGACTTCAAACAAAAAAAAAACTCCTCAGTTATTAAACATCTAACCTGGTGATGTCCTCCAAAGTGACCACCTTCCCTGCTTTTATGGCAGCGTTGAAACAGTCGGCGCCCACCGTTTCCATGGCGATGACAGGTACGTCCATCCAGCCGGCGTCCTTCAGACCCTGAACGACCCCGCACAGGAGCCCCCCGCCGCCTACAGACAGCAGGACGGCGCCCGGCTTCACACCAGCACCCAGAGAGGCTGAAACCTCTGTGATCATGCTGGCGTGGCCTTCCCTGTAAACGCAGAGACAAATATATATATTTATATTTTAAAGACGCGCTGCAAAAAAAACAAGTTGTTTCAAAGTGTTTTCACCAAAGCAGAGGGTGATTGAACGGAGGAACGAAGGTGAGGCCTTCAGTTTCTGCCAGTCTGAGAGCTTCGGCGTTGGCATCGTCCCAAACCTGAGAGGAAAACAGAAATGTGACTTCCTCCTCTGACCTTCATCACTTTAAATTTTCCGTTTTCTTTTTACTCAATTCATTTAAAAACAAAAACTTTTTTATACACAACAAAAAATATAAAAATCAAAATGAAATGAAAGGAGGCAGAAATAACTTAAAATCTTATATCTGCCCCCTTTTTTCCATAATTAATTTCAAGCAATAATAATCAAGAAACAAAACAAAATATCATGAATAATCAAGTAATTTATTTGAGCTCCCTGTCAGCTTTTCATCAGTGATAACACCCAAAAACTTCACCTTTAAATGACTACATCACACCTCACCTTCCCACTTATCCTGACTGTAGCCCCCTGATCCTGGAGCCTCTGGACCACCAGCTGAGGAGACGAGGACGGGACCACGATGGTGGCGGGGACACCCATCTTCCTGGCGGCGTAGGCGGCAGCCATYCCTGCATTCCCACCTGGAGAAACACGTCAACATCAGAGCAACACACCGCCACCTGTGGAGGTGCAGCCTGAGCGCTCAGCGATGGTGCTGAAGTGGCTAAACCTGAGCTGTCGTAGCTTCAAACAGCTGAAGACTAGCTAAAAGGATCGCTCATTTCAAAATGCTAGCAAACAGAAGAAAACTATTAGGAAAACTATTTGAAGCTGAAAGTAACAAGTCTAGCTAGAAGCTAAAAACAGCAAAAGGTTATTTAAAAAGCTAAAGTAAAAAAATGCTAGTTAAAAGCTTTAAAAAGTAAAATGCCAGAAAAGTAGCAATGATATATTGAAAAGCTTGTAGAAAAGAAAACAAACACTAAAGCAGCAGTAAAGTAGTTGCAAGCTAAACATTATTAATAGAATAAAAGCTAAAGCCTGCACAATAATAGGCAAAAGCTAAAGAAGCACAACCATAGCTAAAAGCTAAAAGTTGCTGGATGGCAAACGAAAACTAAAGTAGCAGAACAGTAGCTAAAAGCTAAAAATTGTTAATAGAATAAAAGCTAAAACTTACAGAATGGTGGACAAAATCCAAAGTAGCAGAACAATAACCAAAAGCTAAAAATATCAATAGATTAAAAGCTAAAATATGCAGAATGGTAAGCAAAAAACTAAAGAAGCAGAATAGTGCCTAAAAGTAAAAGTAGCAAAATGATAACAGAATGCTAAAATAATCAAGCTGAAAGCTAAAACTAACAAGAGATGGATGGATGGATGGATGGATGGATGGATGGAAGATAGATAGATAGATAGATAGATAGATAGATAGATAGA